TTTTTAAAAAAATCAACACTTGTTACACTTACACAAAGCAGTAAGCACTGCCTGACTGCTGCTTACCAAAATTAAAAAAAAAATGAAGAAGAAGAACAGAAAAAATAAGAACAGAAGAAGAAGAAGAACAGAAAAAATAAGAACAGAAGAGGAGAGAAATCAGAAATGAGAAAACATTACCTGAAAACCTGAAAACAGAGAGTGAGAGTCGCGAGGGTCGTCGGCGAGGGAGAGGAGATGCCACAGCGAGGGAGAGCGAGGGAGCAGAGACGCGACAGCGAGGGAGCAGAGACGCGACAGCGAGGGACAGAGAGGGAGCAGCGACGCGATGGAGGAGAAGAGAAGAGTCAACGATCGAGAGAGAGAGAGAGAGAGAGAGAGTCGCGATGGAGGATTTCAGAAATTTTCAAAAGTTAAAAAAAAACCCTAATTTTGACTAATTTTATTAAGTCAAAAATTTTTAATCAAAAAGGCGGCGCCTTTCGCTCGCCATTTCAGCGCCATCGATCGCCAGGGGCTCGCCTTTTTCTCCTCGCCTCACCTCGCCAGAGAATGGCGAGCCACCCTCGCCTCGCCTTTGGCAACGAGGCGAGCGCCTTTCATAACACTGATGCAGGCCAGTTCAGACCAACATCACGTTTGAATGTGTTGTATAAAAAAGTATCCAAGATTATATATGAGAGATTGAAGGTAGCAATAAGCAGTATTGTGGCAGACAATCAGGCAGCATTTGTAAAAGGAAGGTTCTAGTGCATAATGTACTAATATGCCATGACCTCCTAAGGAGTTACAAGAGGACAACATCTCCAACATATATGATTAAAATAGATCTTAGGAAAGCGTATCATATGGTATCTTGGGAGTTTACTGAGGAGGCACTACATAAATATAGTTATCCAGAAACTTTTACCAAACTAGTGATGAACTGTATGACTTCAATAAAATTATCCATCAAGGTTAATGGCGAAAATCATGGATATTTTAAAGGGAAGAGAGGATTGAGGAAGGGGGACCCAACGTCACCATTGCTATTAGTGTTGGTCATGGAGTATCTATCTATAGCATAAACTATTAGGCTTTAAGTTCCATCGAATGTGTCATAGCACCAAGCTAAACCATCTCATTTTTGTGGATGACTTGATGCTATTTTTAAAAAGGGATCTAAAGTTTACAGGAATGATGATAGAGGTGTTGAACCATTTCAGTAGGGTGACAGGCCTTATGGAAAATCTGGATAAGTCTAATATATTTGTAGCTGTGGTGGATGATGCTCTGAAGGAACAAATGTGCAGCTAACAGGATTAACACTTGGTCATCTTCCAATCAGATAGCTTATCATCAAAGACATAGCCAAGAATAGATTTCCATCAACTGGTCGACAAAAAAACCAACAAGATTACTAGTGCATATTCAAAAACTTTGTCATAACTCAACCTTCACCCTAGCACAGCTTAGTCGAGATTGATTAGTTGTAGCCATGTCCACTCTCAAAGGTTTCCCAACAGCTGATGCAAGAGAAAATACTAACTCTTTAGCAGATAAATCAGGAGGTAGGCCTGAAAGGAAATATATGCACCTGCAATTGCCGTTCTTCATCTGGATCAAACCAAGGTTTCCACTTTAACAATGGTATAATATCATTAAAACTTGAGAAAGAACGCCGACTTGGCTAGCACATCGACATAGTCCTCTAAAAGTGTTAGCCGATTAACACCAAAACGATTTCTTAAGAACCCTATCTTGCAATCGACCTTGATCTCATATTGAATTGGAATGATCTTTCTTAAATATTTGAGTTTCGGTCATCTATATGAAATTTACCAATAACAGCTAACTAAAAATTTTCCTTGATTCTATCTGAATCCCATGTCACAGTAGGTTTGCAGTGCTGATACACAACAGGTTTGTGTGGAATAGGTTGCATGGGGTTGTAGCAGTGGAGAGTTCAAGGAGTGAATAATCAGAAGTAGAGGTTGAACACCCTCTTAGTTTTGGCATTCCCCACGGAGAGGAAACATAACAAGAATCAGTAGATTGAAGTTAGTTATGTTAAGATAAATTCTCCGGTAGGAATAGGAAAAAATAAATATGACAACATGAATATGCAAGTCACAGTAAGAAATTTTATAATCATCTCACAACCAATAAATTAAGTATTTAGTGTAAAATGAAGCTGAGATAATTACCATAAAGTAGATAATAGAGAAGGTAGCAATTGTCCAATATCTTCCCCAATATGTATCTGCCATCACAGCCCCAATGAGGGGTGTTAGGTAACACGTGCCTTGCCAAATTGTGACATTTCTAGCAGCTGAGACATTTCCCTCATGTAATTTCTTGGTAAGATAGGTAACAAGATTAAGACAAATGCCATAGTACGCCAAACGTTCACAACATTCATTACCTGAGACCAAGGTCCGCAACCAAATCAATTATACCATAAAGCAGAGTGAATAAGAAACTAGGCCAAAACAAGTAATAGAGAAGACAAGAAAAGAAAAATTTCAGTGTGGCATACCAAGAATAAAGGGGCAAGCTTTCCAGTTCCCTGTCTCACTCTTTAAAACAGGATTACCCATGATATCAACAGAACCATCTCTAGTGTACAGTCCACCGTTCTCATTCTACAAATAAGAATTTTTTAAGAATGCCAACAAAAGTAACTTGTTTCTTTTTAGCATAATAATAAACGTCCTTTTTAAACTTGGCTTTAGCTGACATCTATGCACTTAACTTTGGGTATGCACAAGTAAATACTTCAATTTTGACATTATAAGTGGTGTGCTATGTGTATTATATTACGTACTACATGTATGACTACTTGATCAACTTTATACAAATTTAAATTTCTACTTGTGCACACCAAAAGTTAGAGGGCGTAGCTATCAGCTAAAGTCAAAATAATAAAAGAGGTCAATTTTTTAGAAACTCATGTAGTTTCAACTAACTAATCATAAATAAGAAGGTTCTTCTTACTTTCTTCATATACATTAATAGAACTAAAAAATTATAATTTGAACCTGTTTGGCCATGAGGATTTTTCATTTTCTCCCGGAACATTGTATTTGGCCATAAAGATCCGATCAAGTAATATTAGGTCAGGTAATGTTCAATGGTCTTATAGATTCATGACATGTGTATACTATAGAATAATTTATGGTTGAGATGCATTTAAATTATAAACTCATTATAATATTAAAAACAACAAAGTTGTCAACTTTTTTATTTGGGATAATGCACAAGTACCCCCTCAACTTATGCCCGAAATCTCACAGACACACTTATACTATATTAAGGTCCTATTACACCCCAGAACTTATTTTATTAATAATTTATTATCTCTTTTCGGCCTACGTGGCATTATCTTGTGGGCCCAATGCTGGTTGACTTTTTTTTTCAAGCTAGTGCCACGTAGGCCAAAATGGGGTAGAAAATTTCTTATAAAATAAGTTTCAGGGGGTAATAGGACCTTAGTATAGTACAAGTGTGTCTCTGGGATTTCTGGCATAGGTTCAGGTTGCATTTTCCCATTTTATTTTTTAAAACTATCAAATAAAGTAATTAAGTGTACCCAAACTAATATTTTTAAGAAATAAATTTAAGATCGACGAGAATAAGCGAACTTTCTGACTTTTTACCCGCCAAACTTCTTTGGAAGTAATTTCACACCTGCTTTCTCCAAATTCTGAAGCAATCTCCAAATATATATCAAACGTAAAAACACCATTGAGTTATAAATAAAAATTCAACTACAGAACTTGATAATACAATTTTTTAAAAATAAAAAATAAAATTGGAGGTTTTCAAATAATTATATAAATATATTTAATAAGATTTTTCAAAAGTGTAAGGTTCTTTAAAATTAGTATCAATTTAAAAAATATCAATACAAGTACGAGGTTTAACAAGTAAAAAAGTCGAGAAGTCCGCATATTCTCGCTAGTCTTATTTTTTTCTTGAAAATATCAGGTAGGATACAATTAATTGTTTTATTCGATAGTTTTTTAAAAAATAAAAATAATTGACGATTTTGTTGATTTTATTATTAAGATGAGTATATAATTTAAATAGATCTCAAGCATAAGTTATTATATAGTACATATTTATCAAGAAAAAATATTATATAGTACATATGACATGAATCTATAAGACCATTGAACATTACTTGACCTAATTATACTTGATCGGATCTTTATCCATGAAATTTTGGAAACATTCATGTAACGACCTGTTTAGTCGTTTGGAGCAGCAGAGTTAATTTCTGAAAATCACTGTCTGAGTCGATGGATCCCATGACGGACCGTCATAGGCACGACGGACCGTCGAGGGTGTCTCGTTCCAAAACACTTAGAATTTAGAAATTTGGGTACTGAGATCGACTCTCTGAACTTCACGACGAAATGGCAGGACGGACCGTTGAGGGCTCGACAGACCGTCACAAATCCTTCCGCAGAATTAACTCTCTGAACTTTGTGACGGACGTGCAGGACGGACCGTCACAGGCTGCGTGACCCTGACTGGGTCGGATTTCTGTTAAATATTTTAAGGGGCATTTTGGACTTTTCCTGCTTATAATTATAAAGTTAGTGGTTTACTGTTAATAATTTAATTACTTGGGGGTTAAAAGAGGG